CAGTGCTGTAATGTGTTTGACTATTTATCCAAGATTTTGTGTAGGATCTGAGAGCTCACTTGGGTTATGCTAGACATGGCTGGTAATTTGGGGCTTAGGATAAATTAATTGGGACCAACTCCACATTCCATCTCTTATGTGATAATGGCCATGTTTATGGGTTTTTGGGGTCGGGGTGGGATTTTTCTCTCTGTCTAGTTGATCTTGCCCTGAGATAGGATGAATGTCTTCTTTTGGTGATACAATAACCTTTAAGGACATCAATCATAATTTTAATCTGTTTTTAATATATTAATTGGCAAATAGAATAACAAGGTCACCAGTGTGCTGATTATCTGAGATTCACCTCATGTTTAGCAGGGCACCAACTTTCTCACCGTGTAAAACCAGTTCTGCAGAAAGGGGAATTGATTATATCTGAGGGAAATGAGAAGGAGACTGTCTAAGATACCTGGAGACCAGTTGTAGAGTCACTTTCTCCATCCTTTGTTAAATATGTATTTGCTATTTCATAGTCTAAGGTCAGTATCTACTGTCTTCTGATAAATAGTTGGTTCCTTAAACATGCCCATGGTATGAACTGGGGTCAATATAATTTCAGTTTTCTGATGCCTTTGAGATCATCACCTATTCATAAGAATTAGTATTCATAGCAAAATCTAAGAGGCAGTGTAAGATTTTTGTTAATCTTCTAGAAACGATGCTTCCAAATAATTCTTTTAAAAATACATTTTAGTTGGATTTTAGCAAATGGTTGAAAACTTAGTTGACTAGGTGGCAGCAGACATAAGACAGTGGATAAAGTACTTGTTGTACAAGCATGAGGGCATGAGTTCAGATCTCCAATATGCCTGTAAAAGTCAGGTGCAGGGGTACGCATCTGTGACCTGAATGCTGGGTGCTGGGAGAGGTTGTAGGGGGCAAAGACAGGAGGAAAATCTCTGGAATTTGCTGACCAGTCAGTCAGGTTAGCCAAAATGGCTACCTCCAGGTTCAGTGAAAGAGAGAGACCCTGTCTCAAATAATAATGTGGACCGTGGTCCAGGAAGTCACTTGACATTGACCTGTGGCCATACACATGCACACAGGAGTGAGTGCACCTTCCCACACAACAACAAAACAAACAAAAAACTAGGTGGGTAAGATGGCTCAACTAGTAAAAATGCTTGCTACCAAGTACGACAACCTGACTTCAATGCCTGGGGCCCAGGTGGTAGAAAGAGAGAACAGACTCTTACAAGTCTTCCTCCCATCTCCACATGTGCACTATGGCATGTGTATACATGCATGCACACACACATAATAAACAAATACAAATGCAACTTAATTAACTAGACCAGAATTACCAATCAAAAGAGAAAATGGCCCTATTTTACTTGGCAGTTTAGACCCTGTATACATATTTTTAAAACATTTTATTTATTATTTTGATTTTGATGTGTATGAGTGTATTGCCTGCATGTATGCAAGTGCATCTGTGTCGTGCAATGCCCACGAAGGTAAGAAGAGGGTATAGGTTCCCCTGGAAATGGAGTTGTGGATGAGTGTTAGACACAATGGGAGTTGCACTTGGGTCCTCTGCAAGAACAGTTAGTGCTCTTAACCACTGAGAGATCTCTCTAGCCCCTAGTTACCAATTTTTAAAATGATTCTGGAATCAGGCAGTTGTGAGGCATTAGAACAGGTTCAAAAATCTCTGGAAGTTCAACATAGTGAGACACCATTTATGGACAGAAAAGAGAAGCAATGTAAACAGCAGTGTCCTGGTTACAGCTTGGTACTGTCCTCCAGTTGGAGGTGCTAGCTGCCTGGGACAGGCTGAAGCTTGGCTGCTGAGCTTGACTAAAGGAGTTATACTAAGTTATGCTTTACTGCATCACTCAGGGATTCAAGGACAGAGGCAGCCTCAGGTCTAGATGTCATTTACCATTCTGATGCTTGTGTTTTGAAAGGTTTCATTGAGTCTGTGGCCAAAAGCTATTTAAAATAGCAATACATTTATAAGAACTAATTAGTTCACAGCATAAGATAATTGTGAAAATGTACAGAAGATGAGATCTCCTCTCACCACACAACTTCCCATTAATATATTGTGAACAGATAGTGTGTGGGCTATTTTCATTAGTCTTTTGCAAATTAATACAAATTAAAATGTCAAGGAAGTAATTATTGACAGCATGCCCCCATAATGTGCAGGGTGCTGGTCCTTCTAGAAATTTCAGAATACAACCCTTTAATCTCACTGTGTGAATCTCAGCATCTTCTGAGAGGGGTTTACTTTTTCAAAAGTGTTTTTCTGATCAAGATGTGCAGGGTGCTGGTCCTTCTAGAAATTTCAGAATACAACACTTTAATCTCACTGTGTGAATCTCAGCATCTTCTGAGAGGGGTCTACTTTTTCAAAAGTATTTTTCTGATCAAACTTACTTAGCATTTTAGTTTTTTACTTTTAAAATTATCCAAACAACTTCCGTTGATGGCATAAGCACACATCATTAAGAAACAAACAGTCAAGGCACACTTACATCATGTGTTGATCAAGTCAGGGGGTTTCTGGTGTCCATAGTCACAAGCTTTTATCAGTTCTCTCAAAATCCTCTCATAGCTCTTTCAAAATATATGATACAATGTTGTCATTGACAGTGACCTTATGCTAATAGAAGGCCAGCAGTCACTTCTTTTGTCTGGGTATGATTTTTTTGACCCATTGTCCAGTCTGTCCTTATCCCTCTCTCTTGTCTCTAGTGACTACGGTTTGAAAAATGCCTTAACTGATTCTCTGAAATTTTTTTCTATTGTCAGTTTAATTAATCACATGGTTTTTTGTTGCAACACAGGAGTATGCACAAATTGTTGGCAGTTCTTGGGTTAGCTCTCTTGTTTGAATAGAGTCAAGAGTTAAGAAATCAAGAGCTGGAGATGTAGTTCAGTAGTCAAGAGCCAAATATACCCAAGGAATGCCCTGGGCTCAATCACAGCATAGCAGAACAGATCTTTAACCCAAGAAACCTAACAAGTGATTCTGCTTAGAGCTGTGAGGAACTAAAATAATGGAAAATGATCATGTTTGTAATAACAAACAGCTTTTCTTGGGAGAGGAAGGACCCTTAACTATCTAGTTAAGAGGACATTACGTCCTTACAGTGCAGTAGACTTTGTTACACTTCATGTGATATCTGCTGAGACAAAGATCTGCCAAATTCCTCCCTGTTCCCAGGTAGACTTGAGAGAAAAGAAACCTTTTAAAAGGTACACACTCAAGTTTCTAATTTCTTCAAAATAACAAAATAAAAAATAAGATGTCCAGTTCCCTTTGAAGAGCTCATTTAAGGCTTACTTAGAGTTTATCCAAAGCACCCAAGTATACCGATTTTCTTCTTAGAAACCAGCTAAGCCTCTAAAAATGGGTCAGTGTGCTTTGAGCACTGAATTGCCTCCTCCTGACTTTGTCATTTAAGCACAGGTGCTAAGTGGAGGGTCTTTCTGAGCCTTACTCACCCTCTGACAGGAACTTGGCAATCCTTCCAGTTGTTAGAATTGGCTGCTCTGTGGGATTCATCGTGAGTTATTTACAAAGCTTCAGTTGTTCAGGTCAAACAACTCAAACCCTCAGTATGGGTGTAGCAGGAGTGGAATGGGAGAGAATAGAATCAGAGTTGGAGTGGCTACTCTGCTTATAAAAGTCGGAGAGAAATTGTCTTTTGAATTCCACAAATGCCCATAACAATGCTCATTTATCTTGAATAGCTCAACCTTTATGGTTATTTGGACTTTCTCTGATATAAGCTTGATTGATGCATAGGCTTAGTATTAAAATATTATCAAAATAACAGATACGTTTCTTCAGTTTTTTATTACCATTACTATTACTATTATTATTATTACTATAATATCATCATCTTATATAAAGGGATGACAAGAGGTAGATATTTTGTCAATTCCTCTTATAGAACAGTCTTGCTTCATGTCTTGAAATGGAAAAATATATTTTATGATTACCTTTTATAAATGACAATGTATATTTAAGGAAACCAAAGACCCAGTGCTTTTAAGTACTAAGGAGGAATTTCTGAAATAATTTCTGGGTTTACGTTTTATAACTGAGTACTAAAATGAGTCCTATCCATAAACTTCCAAACTGATAAGTTTACTATTCCAAATCCAATCATATTATTCTGTGGTTAAATGTACATAACAAATTAATCAATCCCCAATCACACGACTGGCTACTCTTGTTTCACCAACCAAACACATCACGGATAAACAGAAGCAAGCATTTGCAGAACCACTAGATGGCACACAGTCACTGCAATTTTGGTTAAAGACAGAGTTTATCAAGATGTTCAGGGTCAGGGGATGGCAAATATTTTCTATTATTGTACAGTATTTTCCTGTCACTTAACACAATGACAAAGCTGTTTTATCATTTCCTGTTCTCTTCAAATCCAACCTACAATTTATTGGAATCTTTATTAAAAGAGTCTTCTTTCAGGAGGAAAGTTGAAAATCATATTTATGGGTGATAGGTAATGCATTTACTTAAAACATCTAGCAGAAAACTATACTGCAAAATGTTCTATTTAATTGTCTTTTGTTTCATTGCTTTACTAATTTATGTTGTTAATTCTCATGGAAATAATTTTCTAAAGTGTATAAAAGGTATACCTCTTAAAATTCTCTAGTGTTATGATGGCACCAATCTTCAAAATTAATATTAATAAAGGCCAAGAGCTCTAGGTGACTCAGCGAGGACCCTTCTACTGTTACAAATTCATATGAATGGAAAGTGGTGATCCTAACTTCAACGGTACCCAGGAACCAAATGGCTTTTGGGAACGAAGGGCTGTGATTTGGTCCTGGAAACAAATTATGGAAAAATCCCCAATTCTCACACTCTGAACTGAAAGATTGGAAGAAGGTATGAATAGAGACAGATCTGGAAAAGGTCAACCTTTTAATCCAAGGTACGGCTGAATACTAAGGTAAAATCTTGGACTTACTTGCTCTAATATGTTTTGAAGCCTCTCTATCTCGCAGTCTATTACAAATTTCTTCTCTTGTCTTCTGTCAAGCTCTTCTAGCAGCTGCCTGTAGCTGACATCGTTAAAATTTTCCACACATATTGCACTGACATGCCATCCGTTCTGTCCTGCTTTTTCCATAATAGCTTGAAGTATCGAGTATCCTATTAGGCAGAGAAAAAAAAAGAGTCAATCAAAGCATTCTTTTCTCCTTTAACTAATGCAGACCCAAGGTTTTAATATTTGAGTGATTATTTCAGAATCTTTTTTTTCTTGCTTGTTTGCTTTACTCAGGCAACAAAATCAGTGAAGCTATTGACCGAATGAAGCATCCACACCATGCCTAGTGTAAGCTCTCAAAATCGCTCAGTTGGAGAATATTCCAATTACTCTAGACATACTTTTGATGAGATAAAACAAAACTCCAATCCACTACCACCTGTGGTCAATATCAATTTCATGAGCCCTTTTGTTATTATATTCTCTGGACAGAATTCATTTTGAACAACTGTTTCAATTTTCTCCGTAAGCAGGGTGGTAACAACAGTTTTGGTTTGGCTATGGAAGAGAAGATGTAAAAGAAAACACCACTCTGGTACTTATTGGGGCTCTGCTACAGTCAGTCTCATTTGCTGAGGGGGACAGAACTAGATTGGAAAGGCATAATCTATTAAGGCAGAAGGAAGGTGTTGCTTGGGGATGAGCTGACTGATCAACAGATGAGGGACCCAGGCGTTAACTTTATAGTCTTGTAGAGGAAATGGACATTCAAATAAATGCAAGTGAACTTTTAAAAGTGCAACGAGAGATGGGCATGATTTCACATACTGTAATCCCAGCACTTGGGAGGCAGAGGCAAAAGGATCATGAGTTCAAGGTCAGCTTCAGCTACATAAAGAGCTTGAGGCCAGCCTGGCATATGAAAGACTCTGTTGTAACAAAAGCAAAAACAAACAAACAAACAAATAAAAAAGTACTTTGGGGCCAGCAAGATGGCTCAGCAGAAAAAGGCACTTGTTACTAAAGCTTGATTATCTGAGTTCAATTCCCAGTCATGATGGGACAGAAAAGACTCCCAAAGACTGTTCTCTGATCTTCACACAGATGATGGACACACACACACACACACACACACACACACAAAACAAAACAAAAGAAACCCCAAATATATAAATGTAAAAAGCAATGACTACAGTACTCAGGATAATGTGTTGACCCCAAGAGAAGGCTTGGTTAAATATTTTCTTGACAAAACAAGGAAGGATAAAATAGAGACAAAGCCACTTGAATTGGGTCTTGAAGGTTGAGAAAGATCATGCAAGATTGTTGGAAGTGGGGGTGTTTGTTGTTAGATGAAGGTCTTTAAACTATTCCCGACTCAGATCTCCATACATATGGAAGGGTGGTCATCTGGTCCAACCCCTTGGGTTTAGGAAGGACTGTGAATCTGTGACCCCAGCACAGAGAGTGAATCAGCATAATACTGTCTTGACATCTGCTTTTTCTAGCCCTCAGTTTTAAGTGATAATGGGAATGAATAAGTAGAAAAGGATTCTTTGAATCTATAAAAATTCTTGAACCAAGAATTGGTTAGGACCAGAGTCTGTTAACCTGTCAATCTTTCATGTTGCAATTATAGCATAAATAAAATATTCTAGTTTTTTTTTTAAGAATGTCCATCATGATTTGAGCTCATTCCTGAAGAAGCTACCCCCAGTTTCTACTCTAGGTTTTAGAGTTAGGATAGAGAGCAGGATTAAAAGTGAAGATTTAAAACGAACACACAGTGCTTACAAGATAAGAGCATATTTATTTGGTGTTTTGAATGGTACGTGAGTCTCAGATTTAGGAACTTTGATTTTGAGGTTATGTTTTCTCTGTGTCACAGTTCCAAACATCATGATTCTCAAGTAATATCAACAGATGGAACTGATGATGAGATCATATTTGAAATATAAATTACCTGATTTCCTGCCAAATGAAATCCTGTGGCAGTCAGGATTCATTTCTTCTAAATGAAAAAAAAATCCCCAAAGAGGAAGAAAGAGAGCATGTTAATTACAATATAATTATTCGGGGTATGGATTGCTCCACTTAGTTTTTCCTTTTGTAGTGCACACCTGCAATTATCTTCTCGTATCTTAACCTGACACTGCCCCTCTCCCACCAGCTTGGAAACCTAGGACTCTTACTTCCTTCTCAACACATGTGTAATGTAATCTTTTGCATGCTTGCCTTCTCTCCCAATTTTATTCTGCCTTCCTTCCTCCCTCCCTCTTTCCCTCCCTCCCTCCCTCCTCCCTCCCTCTTTCCCTCCCTCCCTTCCTTCCTTCCTTCCTCCCTCTCTCCTTCCCTCCCTCCCTCTGTCCCTTCCTCCTTTCTTTCCTCCCTCTCTCCTTCCCTCCCTCTTTCCCTCCCTCCCTCCCTTCCTTCCTTCCTCCCTCTTTCCCTCCCTTCCTTCCTCCCTTCTTTTCTTTTTCCTTATTAATTTTTATTATTTATTTATATGTATATGTGTGTGTGTATTTGAGTGGGTGCTTGTGTACATGCATGTAAGTATCTTCAGAGCCAGAAGAAGACACTGGATCCTCTGAAGTTGGAGTTCTGGTGGCTGTGAACTACCCAGTATGGGTGCTGGGAACCAAACTTCTGTCCTCTGCAAGAGCAGTAATTGCTCTTAACAGTAGAACCTCCCTTTCTCTCTCTCGCTCCCTCCCTCCTTTCTTCCCCCATTCCTTTCCCTCCTCTCTTTCACTCTCTTTCTTTCTGTAGTATTTGCATGTGTGTGCATGTTTGTGTGTATATGTGTGGATAGACTCACTTGTGGTTAGTATCATGTATCTTTATTATTCTCCACCTTATGTTTTGAGACAGTATCTCTCAGTAAACACAGAGCTTGCCGTTTTGCTAGACTGAGCGGGCACGGAGCCCCTGGACCCCACTCCCTAGTGTTAGGGTTATGGATGTGCACTACCATGCTTGGCTTTTACATGGGTGCTGAGGAGCTGAACTCAGGTCCTCATGTTTGCACAAGTACCTTGCTTACTGAGCCATCTCTCTAGAACCCAAGAACTTTCTTAATATAAGCCTTCATAACTAATTTATTCTGTCCCTTGGACTTACTTTCTGTTGGTAACTGAAGCAATGGTCCTTTATCCTTTTCTTGGCATCTACAAATGTGTTCCTTGACTTGAAAGGAATGCATAAGAAATGACACTGGACATTTCTTCTTTTTTCTTCTTTTATTTATCACCCTACGTAAATAATTCTAAGGCTTTTGTTTCCTTGATTGAGTGCTGTAAAATGATAAACATGGGCCACACACATTGGAATCTTTCTGTTCCCTGGGATCAACTCCCAGCTTGGCTCAGCTTTCTGGATGCTGATGCTAGTTTTTGGCACTCTGTGGCTGTCAGGCCTCATGTCAGGACGAGGTGTTCATGTTGCTATTCTCCTGCTGATATGGCTTTTACAGGATGTAGGAAAGCATACCTTCTGATAAAAATGTATGTTTCTCTACTTACATCACACTACTGAAAGATTCACATTGATAAAAGCAAAATTAAACTTTAGGTACAGAGTTTCACTGGATTATTCAGGCTTACAAATGATACTGGAAGTCAAATGAGAAAAAAAAAAACAAAAAACAAAAAACCTCAGAACAGAATTTTTGCTGAATGATAAAGAATGTTGGCCACCTGAAATGGTCCATTAATCATAGTCAGGAATGAATGGCATCTTTTCAATGCAGCCAGAAGGACACAGCTTAGTTTCAGAATTTAGTAAAAAATTGAGATTCTTTTATAAAGGTGTTTTTTTTAAATATGCTTTCTCATTATTTGTTCGCCCTTAGATGTGTGTGTCTTTTTTATTTGCCAAGATATCTTGGAATATATTATAACTAGGAGAAAATACTGAATTTTGAGTCTAGGACCATGGAACTTACTGGTTATGTAAACTAGAAATCACAAGTCAGGCTATAGTCTTTCTACATATGCTTGTGATTTCTAGCTATTGAAAAATACTGTAGCTTTAGTCAAAAAGTGAATGCTGCTGTTTGGGTACATGGCACAGAGATAACAAGAAATACACTACTCTAAATAATATTTCACATACCACTTCTACTTGCAAAGCTGTCTAACATTCTTATTGTATATACTTTGTTGAAAACTTACTACATGCAGATTTCTATAAAGTATATCAATATTAACAAAGATATGAGTTATCTTTTCATAACGAATGTACCATCTAGCAAAACTTACAGTTAAGTAACTAACCATTATGCAAAACACATAGCTTTACATAAATAATATCAAAGAAATCAAAAATATTCTTTATTATAATAGCACATCAAAAACACAGTCTCATTATTGATTATAGAAAGTAACCAGCCTTTTCATAGTTATTCCAGAGTACTAACAAGTAACAACATATTTTATACTTTAAATCCTGTTATCTTATCATGTAATGATGTCAGTTATGTTAAGTAGAATGACAGCCAGGTTAACAGCCCTACACTAGGGCCTCCTAAGCCATTGACATGTCTTATATATCATCTATGGGAAACAACCTATTTTTGGGAAACATCTCAGAGTCGTTGCTTCTCATCACACAAGCTGGGCTTAATTGATTTTTGTTGTAAGAGTTATTTCATTTCATGAAACCATCTGTACACAGAGCAGCAGAAAGATAAGCAGGAGAAATATATGCTGGGTAGGAGATCACTTCAGAAAGGCAGGTATTGTCCAGATGTTATAAAAACTTTTACTTGGATGAAGACTGGAAAATACCTACTGTGTTTTTCAATGAGAAGACCACTGGCATGCTCCTCACAGTCAGGCAGCATAATGCTGGATCCAGAACTTATGTTTCAAAGGAGTGAGACATTGAGGAGACAGGAGGATGAGGTGAGAACATAGAAATTATCAAGGAATCTTATCAGAGTAACAAAGTCATGAGATGAAACACATGCCACGTGTTCAAAGTAGATTGGAGAATGTGTATATTACAGGAAACTGAATCTTTCCAGAGAGTATTGTTGAGCCTGCAGGAAAGGATCAATGGAAACGGCAGCGGTTTAGACTTATTCAAAGCCATCCTCATTAGTTCTATAATTTGCTATGCAGGAATCTGATGCTACATCATCAATTTCTCTGGTCTGGCA